GAATGTGTCTATAGTATGATGCACATATTTCAAATTTCCAAATTCTGCAAAGACATCCATCTGCCAAACCTCATTTCTCCAAATATCTTAGGATTACAACCTCCTGGCAATGGAGTTTGATTATAAAAGGAACAAGTAGGACAGTTTCTCACTATCTCCTTGGCTTGTTGCCAAGTAATGGAGAAGTCCTTTTCAAACCTTTGCTATTTACATGATGTTTCTTATGAAATTCTGAGGCTTCTACCACACTTCCGATTAAAATAAATGATCAATCTCATCATTGCCTTGTGCTAGTGGAACTGGGAGACCCGTATGGGATCTGATATGTGTAATGTATATAGGATTACTTCTGTTTCTGATTGTTTCCTGTAATTGTATATTCAGTGAAGTTAATTCTGTATTATCAGGAACAAATTCTGCAGTCTCAATGTGTAACATGACTCTTTCCGCATATTGAGAATCAGTAACTATATTAAGAGGTTGTGTAAAATCCATGAGTACCATGAGAATTACATATAATTTTGCCTTCTGTACAGAAGTGTATGGACTTTGAACTACTTTACTTACCTCAACTACTTTATAAACTGCCTTACCTGATTTGTTGGCATCAGTGTAGAAGGTAAGAACTCCAGAAATGGGAGTTTGTCTTACAATACATGGAAGAATCCAGACTGTTTTTTATGAATTAATTCTGTCAGTTTTGGGATAATTTTTGCTAATTGCTCCCAAAATCAGTTAGAGCTATTTGACAATATTTATTATCCTCCCATAAGGAGAAAATTTCCTCATTAGATAAAGGTACTATAATTTCTGCTGGATCTTTTCCAGTCACTTGACAAAGTCTTAATTTGCCATTTAGAATCAAATCAGAAATCTTTTATATATATGTCTTTAACTTTTTATTCTGTTTATGTGGCAGAAATATCCACTCCAATATGGTGTTTTTCCTCTGCATTGGAATCCCAGAGGGGTATTCTCTGGATGGCAAGATAGCCAGAATACACTCTAAATCAAGGTTTGTCTGATCCACATACACATCCAATATTCTGTTTTCTACCCATTGTAATTCATTTTCTGCCTCAGCAGATAATATTCGAGGACTGTTTAGGTCCTTATCACCTTTAAGGACCATTTTTAAATGTGTTAAGTCATGTCCTTCTACACCAATAATCATCTGTAATTGAGAAATTTCCCCTAATAATTTCTGAAGAGAATTAAGAGTTTGATAATGATATCTCCTAATTTGTACCTTCTGAGGCCTGATTATTTGTAAGTCTATCTTGAAACCTAAATAGTTAATGGAATCTCCTCTTGGCATCTTTTGGGGGCAATCTGTAACCCCCAATGAGGCAGAACTTACTTCACCATTTCAAACATACATTCAAAAGTTTCCTTATTAGAATCTAATAAAAGAATATCATCCATGTAATGATAAACAAGAGATTGTGAAAATTTCTTATGAATTATTTCCAAAGGTAGCTGTATAAAGTGCTGACACAAAGTAGGACTATTTAGCATTCCTTGTGGCAAAACCCTCCACTGATAGCTCATAACTAGCTGTGAATTTTTAAGAGTTGGTACAGTAAATGCAAATTTTTCTCTGTCATTTTCCTATATTGGTATTGTGAAAAAAAGTCTTTTAGATCAATGACTATGATAGACCATCCTTTAGGTATCAGAGAAGGCAATAGAATCCCAGGTTGCAGAGAGCCCATTGGTTGAATTACCTTATTTATGCCTCTGAGGTCTGTCAGCATTCTCTACTTTACCTGACTTCTTTTTGATAACAAATACAAGAGAATTCCAAGGGCTGGTAGATTCCTCTGTTTGTCCAGCATCTAGCTGTTCCTGAACTAGTCTTTCAAAAGCCTCTAGCTTCTCAGAGGTCATAGTCCATTGTCCTGCCCAAACAGGTTCATCTGTAAGCCACTTCAATGTCAGGGTCTTTGGCTGCTCTGAAGGTCTATCATTTGTACCTAGCTTCTGTACAGCCTGGATGGTTGTTAATCATTTTCCATAGCATGTTACCAGATCTTTTCTACTATCTAAAGATTGTACGTAATTTGTATCTGACACTGGAGGGATATTAATCTGAGTATTCCATTGCTGTAAGAGATCACAACCCTAGAGATTTATAGCTATATCTGCCACGTATGGTTTCAGTCACCCTTTCTGTCCTTCCGGTCCAATGCAGACCACCGAGTTAACACTCTGTAGAACTCTAGATAGAGTTCCAATTCCTAAAAATTGTATATTCGCCTCTCTAAGAGGTCATTTCTGAGGTCAAGACTTTTGGGTAATAATAGTCACATCTGCCCCAGTGTCTACTAAGACAGTAATAACTTTATTATTAATTTTCACTTTCAACTGAGGTCTTTTATCATTAATAGAAGTTTGCCAAAATATGTGTTTCTCATTTTGTCCAGTCACATTTGATTCTTCATCATTATTCAAACTACCAAATAGAGCAGTATCAGTTTTCACAATAGGCAAAGAATTATTTATTCATCTTATGAGAGATTGTCTTCTACTGCTACTGGGAATGATCAAACCTTTCTCGATATGGGGGGCCTGCCCTTCCCACATCTTCTACACAATCAAGAAGGCAGTGGCCTTCTGTATGAGGCATTGTTAGAATTTGTCTACAATTTCTCTTGATACGTCCCATTCTAGCACAGCTGAAACATCTAAGTTCCTGGTGCCTTAATGATCTCCTGGGGAAGGCTCTTCCTACCCAAGGTTCTGGTTCATAGTAGTAGTAACCTCTAGCCTCTTGGTACCTATGTTGACCTCTGTAAAGTGTTTCTCCTTCCCAAGCCCTTGGATCCTCACCTCTAGAACTTTTAATCTCCTGTTGCCTTTTAAAATCTACCCAAGCTCCAGTATCTTACACATTATAGTCAATGTTGGCTGCAGGCAAAACCCATTCTTCTAGAGGAGCCGATCTGAAGTTTAAAGTATTCTTTTATAAGCTGTTGTATATATAATTGATTGTCTTGTTTCTAGATCTGTTACCTGTAATTCTACTGCACTATATAATCTTTGTAAGAAGTGCTGGAACGGTTCTGTAGGTCCCTCATCTATTCTGGTATAAGCTTCTAGGCATTCTCCTGGCTCACGAACCTTATCCCAGGTGTT